CACATTAGATTAGTAGTATACTTTTTGTATATAATTATGTCTATAGTTATCAATATGATATTCTATGCTCAAATATCAGCTTTGTATGAACTTCTAAGGTGGCTTAAGGTCTGACTTCATAAAATATTGATAGAAAGTGGTTACTCCAGTAGGAATCCCATCTCTGAAACATTGTATTCACTTTGTTTAAGTTCAATTGGAGTCCAGTAGGAGTTCAGTAGGAGTTCAGTAGGAGTCCAGTAGGGGTCCAGTAGGAGGGGAATGTGAAAATGCTTTTTTAGAAAGAATGTTGAAATCCAGTAGGAATAGGTGGAGGAGTGATAAGTATTGAACCATTCCATGGAATCCATCTGGGGGAAGTATGGAATCCATCAGCCATTCCATGGACTCCATCAACCATTCCATGGATTCCATCTGGGGGAAGTATGGATTCCATCTAGTCCATATGGAATAACCTGGGGAGGGTAAAGTATTGGTCCAGGACCTTTACATCATCAGGACTTTCAGGTTCAAATCCAATGTTATAGTTAGTTAAACCAGGAGGTTTATTTCCATTTGATTTACAGCGCTTTTCACATGTATGCGGAATCGCGTTTGTTAGAATTCTGTAGCTTTGGTTATGTTTGCTACCTCGGCATTTCCCTTGACAGAATTTTTGCGAGAAGCCTCAGCGCGTCTATATGAGTGCCAGCGCCCCACGACATTGAATGTCCCCACTCTTTCCTTCCAACCGATGGCCAGCGCTCCATCCTCTGAGCTCATTCCAACCCCCAATCCCTCAAACTTGACCTTCACAGTTGCCACGGTTGCCGTGGCCCTCACTGTCTTTCTTCCTGCCGCACAAGGGAAAACTCCAACCGGTAAACCTGCAAAGGCCAAGCTCAAGACCGACACGAAGAACAAACAATTCAGCTACGATTTTGATAACACCAAAGACAATTACATTTCATTTTTGAACCAGATTCTTGCTGCTCATGGACTTGCTACAAAATACGGGCCAGTAACGTCGTCTTCTCGGTTTCCAATCAAGATTCTCACCCCACCAGCCCGCGCGTAAGTCTTTCGCTTATAATCAGTTGATGGCACACTCACAGTCAAGTATCTAGCAAAGCTGATGCTGTTGATGTGGAACGGCACAGCGAATACAAAGATTTGATTGATAATGCGCGCGAGAAGAAGGTGAACAAGCTCACAGTCCTAGTCCACATCAACGCTATCAAGGATGCGTCGAAGAAGGTACGTCGAGTATCAATAAATTCATGTATTGGTCTAATCTGCAATAGCGTAAGGCGGGTGGGTCAGGTTCTGAGAGTGATAGCGGTTCAGATGGACAGGAGATTGATGAAGGCAGTGGTGAGGATGAAAAGGTAAGCCCTTAGTTCTGCTTTTGCCTGTAGCTGAGTCATGGTCTTGCGCACATTAGGGCTATACTGCGATGGACCGGGAACTAGGTCGCCTTCGTGGCCTCTTGGAGAAGANATATCAAAACCCAAACGATTCGGGCTACACCTACATAACCAATGACGGAGAGCGCCTACCGCTCACACCAATCATGCTAGCCCAATGGTGCAGAGCGCTGGTAAGAC